AAAGCTACTCAGCAGTATGACGTGTGTTTCAGCTCAGACACGCTCAAGAGTGACGTAGTGGTTTTCCCCGCCCCGTTTCCACCTGTAGATGCGGAACTAATCAGTATTAACGGAGGAGACACTTTTACCAGGACTCAGACTTTACCTAACAAAGAGAAGGTAAGATGCTTTCAATCACTAATTCCAGTTCAAGGGATACCACCCCTGTCTGTATTTTGATACCCGCACATAGCATAATACTGTAATGTCAGTGTACATGGTTTAATGCAAAATTCGTACATTCATACAGAAAAGTAGATTACATACGTTTTTATTAGGGTAATGCTACAACTATAACTTCCCTCACTGAAGTATTTTCTTAATCAATCGACTATATGAAAAGTGCTGGTCTAATACAGTAAATAACTAGTAATTATATGGTCTGAAGCTGCATAATGGGAAAGGCGCTCTCCGCGGTGCTGATTTCTCTTTGTCTGCTAGTCGTGTTTAGCTTCATGTCCTAAAATAGCTTATCTATGAGTCTCAACACCATAAACTTGTATAAATAAAATTTTAAAGTTACATGCCCATAAATGATCAGCTGGTCTATAATTTGTACCATATAATTTACAGTACCTAATATGTTCGCCTGGAAAGGCAAAATCGTTGGTTATATAACTTGTAATGTTTTAACTGAATGTGAAGATTTTCTCTTTTCTACTTAACAAAACTCTTCCCTGATTGCGTAGTTCCAATTTACCTGGCTTTTTTTAGTGTGCACGACGTTTTCTGCAGCACAAAAAGTTAATATCTTATGACATCTGATATTCGTGATCCATTTCTGGTGTGTTTGGGAAAACAAACAATCTCTAAATATTAAACTGTTGTCGATAAAAGGAACACTAGATGTCGCCCAAGACCACAAACTCACTGATGTAGATTATGAGTTAAAGCTCCACCTTCACTGTTGGTGAAATAGGAGACAGCCTCTGCGTTTCTGTCCGGGTTAGTAAATCGCCTCGTCTTGAACGATGGTATCTACGTGTAGAGAGCTTGGTAGTCTTTCGGATATTTGTCTGCATTAGTGAATGAAGTGCGTTTATTTCTCTGGAATAATATCTACAAAACAGAATGAGTCTCCGACACCACAGAGAGGGGGGATGGATGTTGTTCGCCATTACTCTTTGTTTATCCGGCTACTGTGTTGCTCAGATTTCCTACTCCGTTTCTGAGGAGGTGGACAAAGGCACGGTAGTGGGGAATATCGCGAAGGATTTGAACATTAATACACAACAACTGGAGGAACGAGGATTTCGGATTGTATCGGGATACAGTAAGGCATATTTTGAGGCTAATTTACGGACAGGAGCTTTGTTCGTTGGCGAAAGAATAGACCGAGAAGAGCTTTGTCCTAATTTACCAAAGTGTTCTTTAAATATAGAGGGACTGTTAAACCATCCCATGAATATTTATCGCATTGAAGTCAGCATTGTGGACGTCAACGATAACGCTCCGACATTCCTTGAACAAATCCATGTGTTTAATATCTCCGAATCGTCTTCAACGGGAGAGAGGTATCCGCTCCCGGCAGCTCAGGATGCAGACACTGGCAGCAATTCAGTGAAATCCTACAAATTAAGTCCAAACGAGCATTTCTCCACAGATGTCAGTAGCGGAGGAGACCATTTGTCTGCTGAGTTAGTGCTGCAAAAAGCTTTAGATCGAGAGAAACAATCCGTTATTAAACTAACATTGACAGCCGTTGATGGGGGAAAGCCTGTGAGATCTGGCACCATGCAGATTTTTGTGAATGTCATAGACGTTAACGATAACACGCCTTCATTTAGTAAGGCGCTTCATAAAGTAATCGTCAGTGAAAGTGTGCCTATAGGTACAACAATACTCAAATTAAATGCAACAGACTTGGACGAGGGTTCAAACTCAGACGTCAGGTATTCTTTACTGAAAAGAGGAAATGTAGATTCCCCTGAAAAGTTCATTGTTATTCCTGAGAGCGGTGAAATCATTGTGAAGGGTAATCTGGATTACGAGGAAAGCACTGCATATGAATTACGAGTGCGCGCTAGCGACCAAGGCGCTTCCCCTCGTAGCGGTTATTCTAAAGTGCTGTTAGAGATTGTTGATGTCAATGACAATGCACCACAGATTTCAGTAACTTCACTTATGAGCCCAGTAAAGGAAAATGCTGAAATTGGAACAGTAGTTGCACTTGTGACTGTAACGGATAAAGACGGGGGGCAAAATGGCCTCACCACTTGTAAATTGAAAGATTCCATCCCATTTAAATTAAAGTCAAATTACAGAAACTATTACTCAATAGTAGTTAACGGTCAGCTTGACAGGGAGACTTTATCACAATACAGTGTAACTATAATCGCTACCGATGAAGGCAGTCCGCCTCTTTCAAGCAGTGCTGTAATCACTGTGCACATTTCTGATGTTAATGATAATGCACCGAGTTTTCCAGATGGCTATATTAATATTTACGTGAAAGAGAACAGTAAAGTGGGAGATATAATCACAAAAGTGACAGCATGTGACGCTGACACAAATGAAAATGCTAAATTAACGTATTCGTTAATAGAGAACTATCCGAATCAATTTTCGATTTCAACTGTTTTAAACATAAACTCAGAGACTGGAGACATAATCAGCCTGCAGTCTTTTAATTACGAGGAGCTGAAAATGTTCCACTTTAAAGTTCAGGCCACAGACTCTGGTGTTCCTCCACTCAGCAGCAACGTCACTGTCAACGTTTTAATCCTGGATGAAAATGACAACAGTCCCACGATTCTCGCGCCATATTCTGAGCACGGCTCCGTTAACAGTGAGAGCATCCCCTATTCTGCTGAAGCGGGATACTTTGTGGCAAAGATCAGGGCTGTTGACGCAGACTCTGGATACAATGCGCTGCTTTCTTATCACCTATCTGAGCCCAAAGGAAACAACTTGTTCAGGATCGGAACCAGCACCGGGGAGATCAGGACTAAGAGGAGAATGAGTGACAATGACCTCAAAACTCATCCCTTGGTGGTCTTGGTCTCTGATAATGGAGAACCCTCCCTGTCAGCTACTGTGTCGATTGATGTGGTGGTGGTTGAAAGCACGGCTGAAATCCAGACTCAGTTCAGACATATGCCTGTAAAGGAGGACAGCTTCTCGGATTTGAACCTGTATCTGCTGATCGCCATTGTGTCGGTGTCCGTCATCTTTCTGCTCAGCCTCATCACTTTAATAGCAGTCAGATGCCACAGGACAGACGGCACTTTCAGCAGGTACAGCGCCCCCATGATCACCACCCACCCTGACGGGAGCTGGTCTTACTCTAAAGCTACTCAGCAGTATGACGTGTGTTTCAGCTCAGACACACTCAAGAGTGACGTAGTGGTTTTCCCCGCCCCGTTTCCACCTGTAGATGGAGAACTGATCAGTATTAACGGAGGAGACACTTTTACCAGGACTCAGACATTACCTAACAAAGAGAAGGTATGTGCTTTTGAGTTTTTATTTGAGTGCTTTCTGTTTACAATTTAGATTTTATATTCACCGCATCATCAGACTCTCAAATTAAAGCAACGAAAAAGTAGGAATCCCCCGGTTGTCATAGCCGTTAATATCACCGCTTATTGTAATATCAGCACTCACGATTAACCTTCTTATCTACCACACTTCGAGAACAAAGCGATCGTGCCCATTTTGTTCCCCTGTTTTTTTAGATTCCTGTCTGCTTAACAAATCATTGCTCATGCTGGTGGCTACAGCGCTATCCGTGGTGCTGAAACAAAGATGCAACGTTACGATTGAACTCTCAGTGCCAGTATACTCAGAACCTTTTTTTATTTATTTATTAAAATTAGTTAAAAGCACAAGGTCATATTTTGGCGAAGAGGTGTTTTCTTTTTTTTTATTATTATTATTATTGTATCACTTCTGTTTTATTTCATTTTAATTTGCTGTGAATTCACTTTCTTTCTAAATACACTGCACTACTGAGGTAATATTCTAGCCTTTAATGCCTCTTCAGAGTTTCGGGTTCATGTCTAAAAACGGATATGCGCAAATATTTAAGTATTATATATAAAAACTGACAACTGACCAAGACAAAAACTCCAAGACTGGAAACGTAATTGTAAAATATTTGTAATGCAACAAATCATGGGGGCTTAATGTTGCTCATATTTCTCTTGAGTCGTCTCACATTTGCCACACGGTGTCGTTGGAGACCGTATAAACAATTGTATATCTATAACTCCACCCTGTACGGGAATACTGAGGCCGTCATTGGACACCAGTTTAAAGACACATTGGGACTATACTGTGGCGAGAAGGGCTGCTGCTGCTGGATAATGGTGTTTATAGCGGATATTTACAGGATATAGAATCATCTGGATTTACAGATTTATGCGTTGACTGTTCAACTATGGGAAACCGAGATTGTGCATGGATTCATATGGTTATACTTCTTTGTCTCTGTCACTGGTCTGCTTCACAATTATCGTACTCCATTTCCGAGGAGACGAACAAAGGCACTGTGGTAGGGAATGTCGCAAAGGACTTAAACCTCAATGTACAAGAGCTGGAAACCAGGGATCTGCGTATTATTTCGAGTTACAGTAAGAAATATTTTGACGTGAATTTAAGAACCGGAAGCCTCTTTGTTAACGACAGAATTGATAGAGAGGAGCTTTGTCTGAGAACGGTGCAGTGTTCCCTAAGAGTACAGGCTGTTTTAAGCAATCCAGTGAATGTGCATCGCATCGAAGTGACCGTGTTAGATATAAATGATAATTCACCAGAATTCATTGAAAAGTCATTTTCGTTAAATATATCTGAAACAGTCTCAGCAGGAGAACGATACCTACTGCCTATAGCGGAAGATGCAGATTTAGGCAGTAACTCGGTGAAGTCCTACAGGCTGAATCAAAATGAACATTTCTCGCTTGATGTACAGAGCGGTGATGAACATGCAATTTCTGCTGAATTAGTGCTGCAGAAAGCTTTAGATCGAGAAAAACAGTCGGTAGTTAATCTCATTCTGACCGCTGTAGATGGAGGAAAACCTGCCAAATCAGGAACACTTCAAATAACAGTAAACATAATAGATTCCAATGATAATGCGCCGGTGTTTAGCAAATCTCTATATAAAGTGAGAGTGACAGAAAATTCTACACCCGGAACACTTGTGGTTAAGTTAAATGCCACAGATTTAGATGAAGGCATGAACAGTAAACTACTGTATTCTTTCATCAAAAGGGGCAGCAGTGATCCATCAGATATGTTTGATCTCAATTCAGAAAAAGGAGAAATTACAGTGAAAGGTGGATTAGATTATGAAGGGACGCATGCTTATGAAGTCAGAGTACAAG